TCAGTAAACATTGTTTTATTTCTCTGGTTTAAAAAAGGCTTCTTTCCAAACTCTATTGCTGGCTCCCCCTGTGTACCCTCCCACCCCAAAACAAGATCCCAGGATGGCACTTGAAATTGTCTAAAGCAGATGAGTATTTTGCAGGCAGTTAATAATGGTAAAGAATTAAGGAAAAATACAAAGTAAAATCATAGTTTTGAAACCTAAATTTACAGTTCCATCAGAAACATGACCAGCATATTGCTCTGAAAATGCAAAGTGTTAAGAATTCCTATAAATCCAATTACCCTTAACCACTTTTTATTTTAATTTAGATGACTTATTATAAAAAAATCCAAGTTGTATCCTAGCTCCTTTGTCCTCCCACTGTACCATTTTTGGAGAAGATTCACCTGATCCCTTCTAGAATAAAGCAGAAGCACCACTTAGGCTCTTCTGCTTTGACCTACATATTGTTCTATATTAGACAGTGAGTTGCATTTTCCAGAGCATGATGTTAAAGTGAAATAGAACAACTACAATTCATTAGCAGGGGGGAAAAGAAGATCAAAGTGGAGGACATAGTGACCCAAATCCTCCCACGCAACCAAATCCAGCACACAACCTGAACTCCATGCCTGAAACTGGGGATTTCTGCAAAAGCCAGAGTACATGCCATTAAAGGGTGCCGTGCCAGAGGGAAGAGAGAAGTCCAGAAGGTCCAAGTGTTCCTAAATTCTAGCACCAGGCAAGAGATCCAGCTTCTAAAGAACACTGCTAGTTCTTTTGGTTTTCTGTAAGAACACTGGATGAGGTTTTTAATCAAGGTATAAGCACTTGCTCTGAAAAGCAACAATTTGTTCCACAACCTCTAATTCTCAAGTATTTGCAAAATTAGCTTTTGCTTTAGAAAGGCTGGCCATAAGAACAGACCTAATAACTCATCTTTAGAAACAAACAGGACACCTATGCTTCAAACATTGTACAATTTTCACTTCAGAATTCCTCACTGTATGTGTGTTTCATAGGATAAAAAGAAATGATGAAACCCAGTTAGTGTATTTGACCACTGAGAAGACTGCAGTGACCTTGCTACTATGCGACAGGACATAAGGCACACTCCATAAGGCTAAAAGTGAACCCAACTGCTGTTATTTAAACACAGTCTGAAAGGAAGAATAAATCCTTAAGTCTGCTATTTCTCTAACAAGACTTTTTTGATAAGCTACTTCTATACAACAGCAGAGTATTTTGCATTACTGCCTGTGCCTACTACTGTCACTTCAAGTATCTGTTCTGAATTTAAATTTTTTTGAAGCTGAAAGATAACATACTAGTCATGCTCTTTACAGGTCTGTCCTGTTTTGTATCCACTTTGAAAAAGTAGAGAAGGAACACTGATCTTTAAAATACGCAGACAATTATTCTATTTTTCTTCTGTCTTGCCATTTGTTACTATTGTTCCGTTTCTTGCTCTGCCATGCTCTCAGCAGTTTTCATGAAAACAAAAAAGCAAGAACAAATGTTGCCTCACAAAGAAGTTTACTTTCATGAAGTCTTAAAAGATCAAATCTCAGACTTTAAAGTTCAGAGTTCACCACCAATGGTAGAACCATATAAAATGATCATGAAATATGATCAAATCTAGGCACAGAAGACTTAATAGCACAGGATCTACACTTCTAGAAGTAAAAGACAATACTTTCAAAAGAGAGATCCTAACTAACATGAAATGTATTCTGACAAGGAGCATACAGAGAATATACAAACTAATAATTGACAACGGAGAGGCCTAAGATACCTCCGAAACAGTGAAATTACCATGATGTTGCCAGCTACCTCTAGAAAGGGCTGATGCTTTGGACAGACACCTTTGCAAGGCATTCAATTGTGTTTATGCTCTAAAGACTAAGTGCTCCCAACACATGAGGTTTAAAATTACTTTACCTCATAAAAAGTAAAGACAAGGATCTTCAAGTGCCCTAAATTTGTTTCGACTATCACATCTGGCTGACTTTCAATGTTAGTTTTTCGCCCATGTAACTTAGAGATGGATCTTCAAGGCAAGCTACTTGTCATAGTTCTAACAAAATAAACAGGGGTTTAACAGTTTCACTATAAAAAGACTTGGATTTAGCACCCATCCAACATTTATTTCATGTTATCATTATTTAATATTTATGAAATATTAGAAAACTTCCCCAAAAACATTAGAAATATGCTCAACAGTATAAATCAGGAAATCGGCTTCTAAATCAATTGGCAGTAGTAACAAAAATTTCAACGTTTGTTGTAGAAAAAGATGCAAATTAAATAATCAGATGTCACTGCTCATTCCTACAGAAGTTGTGCAACAATACCTGTAAGCAAGCTTTTAGCACACAGAGAAGATGTGAGGTAGGAGATTAAATAAAGAAGCAAGACTACAAAACGCACACTATGTTACACTAAAAAATATTGAACTCAACACTCCAACTGAAGTCCTGGCATGCTAATAGACTAAGTGCGTATAATTTTGTGTAGGTGTTCTAGTAAAGGCAATTAAAATGAAATCTTTGATACTTTTTTTCTATTACTTTTTACCAGCATACACAAGGAAGTTCAACAGCTTTATATCTTCTAGAGACTTACCAGAACATACAGCTCTGGACATTGTTCTGATCTTGTTCCTGATAAATTATTTGTCATTTATGTCCACAAACAAAATATTTATCTGTATTTATCAATGGAAGAATAATACCCTTCCCTCACAGACCAGATATCACTTGACACTTAAACAAAAATCTAAATTATAAACCCCAGCTGCTTATGAAAAGAAGCTGAAAATGCCTACAGCTTTTAAATTATCTTTACTGTACTTTTCCCAATTACAGACTAGAAAAATGCCGTCAGAATCTAATGCTTAAGCATACCAGTATAAGAGAGAAAGACCATCAAAACGCTCTGGTTCGTCTTCATCTCCTGGTGAGAGCAGGGACATCCTTCCGTATAGCAGCAAAGACAACGACAAAGCAACCAAAATACACTGGCGGTTTCCAGTTTAGCCGGATAAAGGTTACAGGCAGGACAATTTCTGCTACTAACTAAAAAAAACCCCAACAGACAGAGCTCCAGCCGAGTGTCTGCCTACTTAATCTTCTCTGAAACCCTCTGCGTCACATGGACTAATTCACCTACCAAGGTAATGTTTACTTTTTCTCTGTTTGAAATGGCAATTAATAGCAACTTTAAAGACTGATAAATGCAAAGGAGAGAAAATTCACTTGCATTTACTACAACTGTGATTATGCAATCTATATCTAGCAGCCAAAGGCAAATGGAATAATTAAAAAAAACCCCAAACTTATTTTCTCATATTCTTCCAATAATTTATTTACATGCTTCCTCCAAACAAGGTCGAAAGCAGTAACTCATGACCTTTATAAAGCAATCTTCCTAGCAGACTGGATTATGTACATCCACACACAAAAGGGAAAGCCAACAAAGCAGACAGACTGAAAGCATTAATGAAACAAATGCCATTATGCTATTACTTTGCATTCACAATCACGGTATTGACTTGTGTCATGCATTAACTTGGTTTTTAGTCTTCCAATATACAACAGTCAAAAAGTTAACACAGAATCTGGGTTATATATTTTCTCTAGAAATGGAAGCTGATACATCTGGTATTTTGCAAAAGTAAAAAAAAAAAAAAAAAAAAAAAAGGTGAATTTATATCATTATACTGGAAATAATCTAGTTGAAAAAGTAAAAAAAATACCACTGTTCCCAGAGGTAAGGCTCTCTTCTGATACAAGGCTTGGTCTTGCAGAGATACACATATTTTCAGAAGTTCAGAGCTTCTGACATCAGTTTGATTAACTACTGTTTTCTTCCAGGCTTGCATCAGAAGATGCACTGATATTACTCCCCCTCTTTGTAAAAAAGACCTCAAAAAATTACAGCTTAAAATGAAAACGAAATATTCTGCGTTCACTGATGGCTTTGTTTAAGTCGAAAGGTGAATCCTCTCCAAAGCAGGGAGTAACCCTGTGATGAGACAGCATCTGTCAGTGTCTAGAGCTGCACAGCAGGACAGCTTGGCTATGCCAGGAATGTATGCGCTTATCTCATGCTCCTTTTTTTTTTTAAAGTTGTAGTGACTGCGGTTTCGTTAGCACATAATTCTTCTAGGGAGAGCGTCTTTTTGCTTATAGGCAACGTGCTGTACAGTGTTCATATGTACAGAGGGCAGAGCCCGCAATCTACACACAGGAGGGGCAGAAGGGTAAACCCACCCACCACACACTAAGGACCAGATCAGCGGCGGAAGTGGGAACATAAAGCAGCCTCCCAACTCCCGAAATGTGAAGAGCTCCACTGGCATCATTTGGATTGCTCAGATCCATTCAGTCATGAAAACCTGGCCTTGTGTAGTCTTTTCTCCATCAGTTTAACTCTGCTGCTGTTACTGGTGGTACAGTTCAATGAAAGAAAATCCATTAATATTTTAAGCATCATATCAATTAGATATGCTCTAGGCAAGGTTACAGAAGATAAAATACAAATAGCCCTTCTCCAACAAAACTGTTGCTGTTCTTAACGCAAGTGGAATTCAATTTGTGGTATCAGTATCAGGAACGTTTGTCAAAACGAATCACTTGGACCAGTATGGCTTGTTTCCAGTGTCGTGTTTTCTGCAATACACACACATTCCCCACGCCCCCAGTTAAAAGCATGACTCAAGGCTATGCATTTCCATTATTAAAAAGTGAAAGAATGATTTTTATTAAAGCAGGCAAGACAAACTTCTCAGCAATTTAAGCAGATACAAAGTAGTATTAATCTTCTTATTGCTCCCACCTCTTTTTATTGGAGTTATCAGTAAGAAATCACTTGTTCAAACAATTGCTCCTCCATTCCTTCTTCACAGTAACCTACGCGTTGTTCAGCTTCCTGAACTCATCCCCAAGGCTTCTATTCCTCTTTACCTTAATATTCTGCTGCTGTGCTGCTTTTAATGTTTCTAAAGGACTTATATAGAAAAATGGTATTACTGCTTCTTTTGCAAGTTCTCTGCCTTTCACGAACATACTCAGGGGAATACAAATTACTTTTTACTTCCAGAAAGATCTAGGAATACTGCAAAAACTTAAAACCCCATAAAACCTAATGACAATAAGTAAGACTTTCAAGAGACATCATTTGTTGTTTTATGCAGCAAACAAACTAACATTCTTTTTCAAACAGCTGTAAATTATTCTGTTCTGGAGACATTATTAATTATGACTCACCTCTCCCAAAGGAAGTTTTGCAATGCTTTAGCAACCGAGATGGATTACAGGATAACTTAGCAGATGACAAAAAGATTTGCAGGATCTCCAGAAGCAAGATTCACGAGATCTTTTTGTTATAAACAAAACAAACATCTTTTACAAAATCCTGCACCAGTCAATTATGCAACTATAGCCTTTCAGGTTCACTAACCCTAAATAGTAAAAAATTCATTATGACACTAAGGACTACAGCCAAGAGAACGCTGTATCATATAGCATGAACAAACACTTAATTCTGATCTATCCAAAACCACTAATTATTCAAAATACCTTTTGCTGATTAAGTCATAAAGATTAAAAGAAAACATATGTCATTATATGGCAATTGTTAAACATTAAAAAAAAAGCTTGAGCAATGTTGTAATTGTGGAGAAGCATGAATGGTTTGAGGCTAAGCCCTTGCGTAGAGAAGAAAGGTATTATTTAAAGTTTAGGTAAACCTCAATTAACATGTAACAAGTACATTCTTGAAGTATTGTGCATTGATACTGTCTCCCAGAAAAAAAAAAAATGTAGTAAGTATAGAAAATTATAGTCTTCCATCGTCAAGTGCAGTTATATGCACCTTTCATGTTCAAATCTTATGTGAAAAATTGCCTTTGGAATACAGTGATCCAGTAACTACTCATATATGATACCTTCCATATGAATCCAGCAAACCATAGCTGTTTTAAAGATGTATCTTTGTGTTACACACCCTGTATTTCCATCAGACAAGCAGAGCATTTGCTTCTTCGGATCCTAGTAAAAAGCAGGTTAACTTTTTTCATGTTTCGTGGATTTGTTTTTAAAAAAATCAAGTTATTTATGAAGTGGCATAATTCAAAACCTATACTAAATTGTGTGACAATACTTTTGAATACTATTTGCTGGGTTCTGTTGCACAAACACAGCAAACATGATAGTCCAGCAAGAGCTGTCTGTGCCTGTTTTTAATTACGGTTTTGATGACAGCGTTGGCATGGTTACATGGCGGTTTGGGAAGGGTCTGGAGTTACGATTTTCAATCACAACTGAATCCAAGTTTGCCATCTAGAATCTGATCCAACTTTTAAGTGGAAAATATTACAGTTTATAGGAGTATAATTATCATTATATATCGCATGGCACTGGTAAAAAAAAAGAAGATAGTTCCAAAGCACGACATATAAAACTTTAAAGGCATGCAGATAGAGTAGTAGTAATGCATTGTAATACATAAACTCCATACAGTGTCTTATGTTACAGGAGTTAGCTGGTATGTACAAGGTAGTAATTTGCAACATACCTTACATTTTCATAGCTGCAGAAGCATTAAAGTATTCCTGTGTGGGGTTTTATCGCTACAGAACCAGTCCAAACCAAGTGCTGATTAACTTAATTTAAAGATTAACAGATATTTCTTCCCCTTATGTGTAAATTCACTGGTGTTGGTATTAGCTTTTCTAAGATGTTTTCTTTAAGACTTCATCAAAACAAGCTCCTACTAATGAAAATGCAAGAATTTTCATATTATGAACCATTAATTGTTGTATTCCTGGGGGGAGGGGGGGGGGGAAAGTACTTACTTTTCATCTGGATTTGTTAGGGGATCTGTACTGGACATCTTCTTAGGTGCACTATTTTAATAAAAGTTCAACATGAAGAATTCTGACACATGAAGCACTGGCTGGTAACCAAGATAAAAATTGCTGTAAAAAAGGAGAAACCCCTTTTTGAAATTACCAGGGCTATGTTTATTTTCAGACACTGACAACAATTCTTATTTATTATTGACTGGCTGAAATCAAGCGGGAAAGGAGAATTTTCATGATAAAACAGATACACTTCATTGCTGAAAACAGTAAGCAGTTAACAACTCAGACTTCGCTGTATATTGTACCAACCTAACATCCTAATTTCCTCTTGATTTATGAGGTAGGAATCAGGGTACACCTGAACCCCCTGTGTTTAAAACCTTCTAAAAAATTAAGTAACTGAGATTAAAATTACAGGATAAATTCATATAGTTGCTAAAGACAAAAACAATCTAATTTTTTTCCAGCGAAGGTTACTTGAGGAGAGAATGTTGTTTTGAACATGATAAGGTGTTTTGTATGAGGTAGGAATCAGGGTACACCTGAACCCCCTGTGTTTAAAACCTTCTAAAAAATTAAGTAACTGAGATTAAAATTACAGGATAAATTCATATAGTTGCTAAAGACAAAAACAATCTAATTTTTTTCCAGCGAAGGTTACTTGAGGAGAGAATGTTGTTTTGAACATGATAAGGTGTTTTGTGTCTTGTTTTTTTACTTTTTTTTTTTAAACTTACTGTTTAGTATTCAGTGCCTATGGAAATCTCACACGAAGCATGTAAGACATAGGCCAAAATGCATGCAAAATGGAGTTACGTACCACTGATGTAGCAAAAAACCCAGTCATTCACATTGTATTTTTATTAGCACATGCAACAGGTTGACAAGAAATACAATCCTAAATGTACTGAGCAAAAATCATTTGAAAAATTACTGCAAAAGCACTAACGCAAAAATATCTGTTTGTATCAGCAGCAAATCTTCCTGACCTCATGATCTGCATGGCTAAACCTTCACACGGCCACGAACCAGAAAAAGTATTACTCCTGAGAGACAGTACACGGAACTCTGTGGGCAATGCACAGGCAAAGGTGCCCACAGGTGCT